GGTATTATGTACATAATCAGCACTAGATTAATCGGAATCTCCAGATTCATGTCCATTGAATAGACCCATTGATATATATATATATATTATTACTCTTAACATGCTCTTGCTTTGTGTATATGGAATTGATTAGGTAATTAAACTTAGTAGAGATGCATTGGAACAACGCTTGTGTGGACTGGCTGCCTATAAAATAGTTAAGATGCAGCTGACTTTTCACACTGTGCAAATGCTCTTACTGCTTCAGTCTTTACAACAGCATGTCATGTCCCCTTTAGGCCACACACCCTACATCCACCTTTCTATCAGTCACAGAATGCATACCAGAATCTTCTGCCGGCGGGAAGAAGGGAAGGAGAGGAGTGGAGAAATAATGGCTGGGGGACATCAGGGAATTTTCCCAGAACAAACACATCGTAAGACATGTTCATGCCAATCCTCAATGAGCTCTTAATCCAGCCTTGAATACAAAATTTAACATACAACCCAATGAAAAAAATACATATTAAATACATGCATGTTTTCATTGTGGTATAGATACTAAATAGTGATTATATATATATTTATTTATTTATTTTTTTAGGAGAGGAGCAGTGGAGCATCCCTTTAAGAAGAATGTGAATAACACATAGCTACAGAAAGATATAAAAACTGTAATATGAATATTCAGGCCTAAACAGAACTATGAAAAAAAACAACCAAACACAATGCCTGCCCCATTTCCGAGTTAACACAATATTTTCCCAACATCCTGCCTGATCATATTTACAGGTTTTAAGTTAAAGAATGACTGCTCCAACCAATTAAACCTCAAATTCAACCAACAAGCTACGGGATGGTAAGGATCACAGTCCTTGGAAACAAAAACCATAACTACATTATATATTACCTGATACAAGTCATACAAATACAGTTTGAGTGTCTCCGGTATTTTAGAAAACATTCTGATGTTACAATTTTACAATAAGTGTAGATTATAATAGAAACTGGAAATTGTATTGTTTGAAAATTCAATACAAATTGGCAATTTTATAAAATAAGCTGGTTACATCTTCCTAGCTGTCAATGAGACAATTGGTCCTGCTACTTCCTAGATCAGTGGATCTAAAACTCAAAAGGCAGCAATTGCTCAGAGCACCTGCCTTGCAAAGACTTCTCATTGAGCTGCATTGGGAAGTCTGTGATTGGACATCCAGAGAAAGTCTGGGCGGGGCTAGAAGGGGAGGACTTGCAAAGGATGCAGACAAGAGATCTGCAGCATTTGCAAGCAGTTTTTAGATGCACCCCAATGAAAAAATACATAATTAAATACATTCATGTTTTCATTGTGGTATAGCTACTAAATAGTGATTGTATATTTTTTTTTTTAGAGAGGGGCAGTGGAGCATCCCTTTAAGAAGAATGTGAATATATATTCAACGTATTTATTATATATTGTAGAATTTAATATTTGAAGCCATTTTCTAAAGGAAATATAGACATGAAGATGAGAACTAGCTATTTTAACTGAATTCAACAATACCCTTCAGTTCTTCTTTAATTCCCGCTTAATAAAAATATAAATGAATAAAAAGCGTTAATTAAAGTGTTTGTGCAGCTATAATTTGCTTTGCTGTATGGAATTAAATCACATTTGGCATATACTCAAGTCATAGGTTATTGTCTGGCTCATACATTAGGATATTTGCCGATGAATACAGATGCATAATTTCCATTTTTCCAGAGTCATGGATTTTAAGACCTTAAACTCTATGTGCAGAAACCACGATTAACAATAATCTCACCCACACACAGACACCTACGTCTTTCGCTAAAGAAAATGTGATATGCAATATAATATGTATGCCTTTATTACGGAACATTTACAGTACTGAAAATGGATAACCACCAACTTTGGACATTACCATGAGTGAAATAGGATAAAAGTGTTTGTTTGAAACTTACAATCGACATGTTTTTAACTTAGTTGTCAACTCACCAAAAAGTGTTTCAATTTGAGTGATTTTTTACCAAACAACTTCTCTTTGAAATACATAAAAATCCCTCACATAGCATCTACTGAATGCCATGAAAACTCTCATCTTGGTCCTCTGAAAAAGAACTCGCCTCCCGCCTTCTCACAGTTGGAAGCTAAGGTTGAAGAAGTCTGAATGATGGAAGACCTAACGGGAAAAGTAATTGTTGTAATTCCGGGTTTTATAGTTACTATGCTTCGCCAAGCTAGATTTTTGTGTTTCATATACCTGCCATATCAAAATGAAAGGAATTACAGCATAAAATAATGATTTATTGCTATAAATGGACATTTTCTTATATTGTCTCTTTTTCTCCCTGTCTCCTGCTTTTAGTTTCTTCTGCAGGTTCCAGTTCACCACATTTGTATTTTGTTATGTTTGTAACTATAACATCTTAAAATAAAGATTCCAATAAATAAATAAATAAATAATTCAGTTTGACGTCTTGATAATTCACACTTTAATGAACAAAGATTAAATTTGGCACTGAGAGTTCTAATGAAGCGTCAATTTGTTGACTGACTGGTGTTACCAGGTTGTTTGAATTTTGAGACATTATGGACAGTATACGTTTTAACTTCTTGAACCTGAGTAAACTGTTGCACCCTAACAACAATAAGTAGTGCATCCCACTTTCTGTATGAGGAAACCTATCTGAGAGTCAAATAGAAGCGTCTAATAGTGCGCTAACAGCGCAGTTGTAAACATTCTAATTGTTTTGCTGCTAATCTGCTGCTTACATTGGAGTTTTAAAAAGTACATTTTTTTATTTTTTTTGGTGCTAAATGGTATATTTGGAGTGTGCACTTCAAATAGAAGCGTCAAGTTGTGCGCTTACTACGCAGTTGTAAAAATTCTTCTTTTCTGGGTGCTAATCTGCTAAATAGAACATTTTGGGGCCTGCTCTTCATATCTGAGAGTCATATAGAAGCGTCTAATAGTGCGCTTACTGCGCAGTTGTAAAAATTCTTATTTGCTGGATGCTAATCTGCTAAATAGTACATTTGGGGACCTGCTTTTTATATCTGAGAGTCAAATAGAAGCGTGTAATAGTGCGCTTACTGCACAGTTGTAAACATTCTAATTGTTTTGGTGCTAATCTGCTAAATAGTAAATTTTGGGGCCTGCTCTTCATATCTGAGAGCCAAATCAAAGCGTCTTATAGTGCGCTTACAGCGCAGTTGTAAACATTCTAATAGTTTTTCTGCTAATCTGCTAAATAGTACATTTGCGGCCTGCGGTGCACTTCATATCTGAGAGTCAAATAGAAGCGTCACATTGTGCACTTACTGCGCAGTTGTAAAAATTCTAATTGTTTTGCTGCTAATCTACTAAATAGTAAATTTTGGGGCCTGTTCTTCATATCTGAGAGTCAAATAGAAGTGTCTATTAGTGCGCTTATTGCACAGTTGTAAAAATTCTAATTGTTTTGCTGCTAATCTGCTAAATAGTACATTTTGGGGGTGCTCTTCATATCTGAGAGTCAAATAGAAGCGTCTAATAGTGCGCTTTCTGCACAGTTGAAAAAATTCTTATTTTCTGGGTGTTAATCTGCTAAATAGTACATTTTGGGGGTGCTCTTCATATCTGAGAGTCAAATAGAAACATCTAATAGTGCACTTACTGCGCAGTTGTAAAAATTCTAAATGTTTTGCTGCTAATCTGCTAAATAGTACATTTTGGGGCCTGCTCTTCATATCTGAGAGTCAAATAGAAGCGTCTAATAGTGCGCTTTCTGCACAGTTGTAAAAATTCTTATTTTTTTGGTTCTAAACTGCAAAATAGTACATTTGTGGCCTGCACTTCACATCTGAGAGTCAAATCGAAGCGTAACTTTCATTTGAATTTACTACATCCGTCACTTGTGATATTGTTTCACATCTACACTTGTTACACAGATCTAAGTGATAGAAAACAAATTGATATTTTCTACACTAGAAACTACCAGATAACAAGCTGCTATATTTATGGGCGTTGATGAGGTGCTAGGGGGACTTTGCTGCATATTCTCTGTGGATTAAGCTCGAGGAAGAAGCCGTTTTTATCAACAGCAGTTCCCTACAGAAACATCTTTGGACAACTCACCTGAGTGCACGAGGTGGATGCTGTCTGCTTTGGGGAACCGGACAATCCGTCGGGACTACAAGAGACAAAACAGCCACAAGGATTTTCCTACATGGTCCTTAGGAATAAGTACCATTTCTTTTACATTGTGAGAGTTCCTATTTAGGGGGGGATTTTTTTTTTTTTTATACTGGGGCAGTTAATGTTATAGAGTTACACTATATCTCCAGCACAGCATAAGAGGGAGCAGGGTGCAAAAGCGGAGTGGCCGTCCCCTAGCACTCATCGGCATGTATTAGCAAAGTTCGGGTTCATTCCAGATTTAACGATCCATTCGTAGTTTCACAGTCAGGTGGGCAGTCCGGTGACTGGGACCCAGACACTGTCTGGGCGGCGGTCGGACGACCGTGACCCAGTATGCCCGATGTTGAAGTTAGGAGTCAAAGTGTGGAATGGATTAGCAGAGTCTTGTGCAGGGTAACCACACACCGTCTGATGTTGAGCACCAGCGTTTGTGCGTCCACATACCAGGACCCTGATGCAGCTTCAGTAAAAAAAGTACTGGATACCAGAAGCCATCACCAGACTGATCTGCAACTTGGAACAGGATGTGACATTCACTGTAGCGTTCTCGCTTTCGGCGTTCTCACCCTGCTGCTGGTCTCCTGTCTGCGTTGCAGCGTAAGTTTGGCCTTCCCGCTCACTGCCTCATATGCGACGTGCCCACAAGGTGGAGCTCCACCTTGCACATGCTGAAGAGACTGTTTGAGCAGCAGCAGGCGATAGTGGAGTTTCAGCTGCAGCATGCATGGGTCAGTGGCTCTGCACCAGACTTCCCTCCAATTGATCAGAGTTAAAGGATTTCAAGTGGACTTATTACAATTACAGGGCCTCTAAAGTGTCCTGTACTGTTATTTGTCGTCACTACCTTCCCGCGTCAGGAGTGGGTCATTTGCTCGCCTGCTGCCTTCCTTGCATGTGGCAGCCGTTTCTCAGGGTCCTTATACGGAATGGAACCCTGATTCCCCGTTACCCATGGTCACCATGGTAGGTGCATAAATTGGAATCGAAAGTTGATATGGATGACATCCAAATGCAAAGTCGCCGTCATGGGGATGTGCGATTGGCCCGAGGTTCTCTAGAGTCAACAAAGTGCCTGCGCAACTATAATGTCAACAGCTACTCTGCGGAACAGAGTTGTCTTTTTTTATATGACCCAATATTTTGGGGGCTACCCCAATTAAAAAATATTTATTAATTAAACAGTGTTGGCTACCTCCTCCACCGCCGCTTCCACCTACACCGCCACAGTCACCACCTCCTCAACCTAAGGGTTACTTAGTATAAACTATGTACACAATAGCAGAGGCTGGTGAAAGCCTTTTCTCCATGCATCAGGAGTTGAGCATTTCTCCATGCATCAGGACTGCAAGAAATGCACCGCAGGCCGCAAATGTTTCTTTTTTTTATATGTCCAAATATTTTGGGGGGCTACCCCAATTTAAAAATAAATAAATAAAAATAAAAAACAGTGTTGGCTACCTCCTCCTCCACCGCCGCTTCCACCTACACTGCCACGGTCACCGCCTCATCAACCGATGGGTCACTTAGTATAAACTATGTACACAATAGCAAAGGCTCGTGAAGGCCTTTTCTCTATGCATCAGGAGTTGAGCTCAGTTTGAACAATGAAAGAGAATACCCTGCACTCCAACCCTCTCTCAAATGGATAATTCTGGGGATCCTCCATACAGCCATGCTTTAGATTTTGATTTATGTTCTTCTAAAGCTAAAATCAAATATTCTATCTAGTGCTATTTTATGGCTCAGCTGTATTTTATAGTTTTATGTATTTTATGTTATTTTGAGTGATTTCCCTATCCACATTTGTTTGCAGGGCACTTGTCCTACTCTTATCCCCAGTTTACTTCCTTTTGCAGCCCTCTAGAACTTTCCAGGACTTTTTTAGAGGCATTTTAGTGCCCAAAAGTTCAGGTCCCCATTAACTTCAATGGGGTTTGGGTTCGGGGTCAAGTTTGGGTCAATTTGAGTCTGAACTTGAACTTTTTGACGAAGTTCGGCCGAACTCGGCGAACCCAAACATCCAGGTGTCTGCTCAACTCTAATTATAATCAAAACAAATTATAGAAGGATGAGTCTTACAGATTTACTAAAAGGGTGAAAGGAGAGCAGTTGCAAAGTCCCCCCCTTATCCTGCTTTGGGTACTCTACTCAAGCTTCTTTAAGCTACATCTGTCACCTGGCTGTCATGATGGGAGTTGGACTTTAACAGCACCCTCTCTGCTGTTTCCAGACCATGACATTGAGTTATATGAGACCAAGTAGGTTGTAATTGGGATTTTGTTAAACCAATAACATTAAAAGTTAATTCATTTCCAACATCAACAAAAAACAAATTAGGCGGGTTTGATTGCATCTATGAATAGAAATAGGCCAAATGTAGTAAGTAAAATCACTCTGAATTCCTACTTGAAGAATATTCACCAGTGCATTGAGGTTATATAGTAAAACAAAAGAAACATTAATTAACTGATAACGTGAGACTATGAAAAACCTAAATATTACTGTTTTGGCATCGCAGCCTTTCATCAACATTGCAGACAGCAGTTCATTTTTTCAGACGAGTGTGTGGAAAGAATATTTTATGAATGCATTAGCATAAATGTAGAAAAAATACAGTTATGAAGAACCACAAATTTCTATTTACATCAACACTAAGATGGATGTCATGTTGTGCAAACCAAAGCAAAAAACATCGGCGGCTCCCCAAGCCTCTCTCTTCAGCATCATCGCGTTTGGTGGGGAAGGGGAGGACAGTGATAAAGATTTAACATTTTACGCTTGGCCTTAGCATGTTTAATGCTAAATATACTATATATTATATTGCTGTAACCCATGGGTAGGGTCAAAGCTTCTAATTAAGGCACTATAGATCATATCCCGTTTGGTGGGCAGGGAATAGATCCCCGAGCTGTTGCATAGATGCCGTTGGGAATGGGGCATCCTTACCCTCCTTAACTATCCTCTCTCACACTAGGAATAAGACAATGGGGGATGGACTAGTGACAGGCTCCAGAGATACAGACTCTTGCACAATTGCCATAATGGCAGAGTGGTAAATCCATGGTGTGATCCCTCCTGACTTGGAGACATCTCACAAATAATTGTGGTGAAAAAAACAATTGGTGCATTCTGCCAATTACCAATGAATCACTACACTAGGTTACACTTGTAGAACTGCTTGTGAATTAAATGTATAGATAAAAAAGAAACATAGTTTTAAGAGCATGTCCCCTACTGGGAACATCAGATCAGCCTGAAATGGTACAACCGTAGTAATGTTTGCTAGCAATTCCTAAGAAAATAAAGTTGGAATCGAGTTGTGACTGATAATTATGTTTAAAAAAATTGTTGTCTCTTTCCTATAAATGTAATTCAACTTAATGATGGTTCTGGTTACTTTATTCTTGGTTGATTATTGCTAGAGATTGTTTTGTTAAACACAACAGATACACATTGTATACATATCTTATTTCAACTTTGTATTTACTGAGAATCTGAGCGTCAGCAGAACAGCAATGACTGAAAGAGAGGCTTTATTCATTTGCAATTAGCCTATGCCCACAGGGTCAATTCAGATCAAGGCTATTAATATACATAATTTATAAATTATTAGTAGTATTAATTATGAAGAGCCAACACATTTCACAATGCGGTATAAAGTGTGGGAACTATGCTCAGGTAAATCCAACACTACAGGTTTGTCTTACATGAACATGACGAAGTGGAGGTCTTACTCAATAAGTTTAAGATGTCGGACATGGGGTAAAATTACACAAACATAAAACTAATGGTCAGGTGCATTAATAATATGTCTGTTAACATGATATGACTTGGGCAGAGGATAACTTGAAGCAGAGATTAATGAAAAGAAGAAAGAGATGAGTTTACTTCATTTTGCCTGGAGAAGTGTGGCCTTCTAGTGAGATTGTGGACCTTAACATCTTGGGATGAAGAAACCTCAGACAGAATAGGTAATCATGCACAGATTATCATCAGATAAACCCATATTGGTGTTGTATCAATGAAAGGGAAAGTTACGCAGTATAGAGAATGTAACACTATTTCTACAAGCTGATTCAGAATCACAGATTTCCTAAAACTCTAATCTCCATTTACAATAGTGTTAATACATGTAAACATGATAATTAGAACTGCTAACATGATCAGTATTAGCAAAAACTAGATTTTCGGGCCAACAAGAACATGCTCAGTGAAGTGCAGGCTTGCAGGAAATAACTTCTCAATCAAAACAGCTTTTAAATACGTGTAGGACTCAATGAAATTAAATACTCATTATTTTGTTGTGCTATATTAGATATTTAGAAATTATTATTATGTATAAAGACCTGATGTAGCAATCACATTCTTTATCATGTTCATAACAGGGTCCTTAAAAACCTTACATCAGCATGGAATTTAGTGCGTACTAAGAATTGACATTTCTTATGTCCTTACATGAATGGTTCATATAATTTCATATCGCTGCGGAATAAGCTGGCGCTATATAAATACCAATAATAATAAAAATAATAATTTACAGGGCATTAGATAAAAAATGTCTAAAGCAAATTAACATCTGATTGAAAATTACATTATTATTGTTTTCATTCAGGTTATGTCAGTCAAAACCAAGGGGAGGTGTGGCTATCGCTGCATGGACAGAAACAAAAGTCAGGGGCATGATCTATACACCAAAATTGCTTCATTAAGCTAAAGATGTTTCAGTGTCTATAGTATCCTTTTGTGCCATTAAACTACAATGCAAAACATTTCAGAAAATGTTTGCTAAATTGGTAAAGAGCTGAGTATAATACAGAGAAACTCATACAATACATAGAGCTGGGCATAATACAGAGATACTCATGCAATACATAGAGCTGGGCATAATACAGAGATACTCATACAGTCACCAGATATGGGTACAATACAGAGATACTCATGCAATACATAGAGCTGGGCATAGTACAGAGATACTCATCCAGTCACCAGAGCTTATCATAATACAGAGATACTCATAGAAAACATAGAGCTGGACTTAATACAAAGATACTCATACAATACATAGCGCTGAACATAATACAGAGATACCCATACAACACATAGAGCTGGGCATAATACAGAGATACCCATACAACAGGTAGAGCTGAGTAAAATACAGAGACATAACACACAGAGTTGGGCACAATAAGGAGACACTAATAACTATCCCACATAGCCAGGATTACTGTGATGGAATACACAGAGCTGCAATACAAAGATCCCCACAAAGTACATGTCTCTGTATAATGCTTCATCTCTCCCCCTGCCTAACTCGAACTCTAGAGACCTCTCTTAGCCCTCTCTTTCCTAATATCATCTTCAGTAGTGTTCCTGCTATGACAACATTAGCTTTATAGTAAGTGCTGCTGCTGTTATGAAACATGTCAGCTACTCCTGACTCACTATAAGCGCTCAGCACACAGTGTGCACAGGGTTAAAGCAGCAGGATAGTGATAGACTCCTTATTGCACACAGTGTGCACAGGGTTAAAGCAGCAGGATAGTGATAGACTCCTTATTGCACACAGTGTGCACAGGGTTAAAGCAGCAGGATACTGATAGCTTATTATACACAGTGTTAAAGCCTCAGGATAGTGATAGACTCCTTATTACACACAGTGTGCACGGGGTTAAAGCCTCAGGATACCGATAGCTTATTATACACAGTGTTAAAGCCTCAGGATACTGATAGACTCCTTATTACACACAGTATGCACGGGGTTAAAGCCTCAGGATACTGATAGCTTATTATACACAGTGTTAAAGCCTCAGGATACTGATAGACTCCTTATTACACAAAGTGTGCACAGGGTTAAAGCAGCAGGATAGTGATAGACTCCTTATTACACACAGTGTGCACAGGGTTAAAGCAGCAGGATAGTGATAGACTCCTTATTACACAAAGTGTGCACAGGGTTAAAGCAGCAGGATAGTGATAGACTCCTTATTACACACAGTGTGCACAGGGTTAAAGCCTCAGGATACTGATAGACTCCTCATTACACACAGTATGCACGGGGTTAAAGCCTCAGGATACTGATAGCTTATTATACACAGTGTTAAAGCCTCAGGATACTGATAGACTCCTTATTACACAAAGTG